AAAAAAAAAAAAAAAAAACTAAATGGTTTAACACAACCATTGTATTATGACCACAGACTCTGTGGATCAGGAATTCAGATGAGGTACAGCAGGGTTGACGTGGATATACTCCATGATGTCTGGGGCCTCAGCAGGAAAGACACGAGGTCTAGGGGTGATTCCCTGTCGGGGGGAGGGGCTGGTATCATCTATGAGCATCTTTATTCCCAAGTCTGTTAGTTGGCACCTCAGTTGGGGCTGGTGATCAGAAGACCTATATGTGCCCCCTTCATGTGATCTTCCACTTCTTCCCGGTGACTAGCTTCCAGGAGAGGACATCCTAAGAGACTAGATAGAAGCTGAATTGCCTTTTACGACAGCATCACTTCTGATGGAGTCATGATGCTCACCTAGTTTTAAGAAGAGAGAAAAAGACTCTGCTTTGCACCATGATTAGTGTCAGTGTCACACTATAAGGCAGCAGTTCTCAAACTGTGGGTCGTGACCTATAGGAACTGTATTAAAGGGTTGCGGCATTAGGAAGGTTGAGAACCACTGCTGTGAGGGCAAGTGGTGGGAGATCTTGCTGCAGTCATCTTGCAGAAGTGTAATCTGCCACACTTCCTTTCCATGTTTCTCTCCTCCCTTTTTCCTTTCTTCTTCTTCCCATGTGCTTCTTCCCCCCTTTCTTATCATTCCCCCCAACCCCACTCAAGCCTCTCCATAGTCAGGCCCTTCTACTATTCTTCAGCTCTTTTCAGTTGACATTAACTGAACATGTGCAATGTGACAGCTGTCAGATCCACAGACAGATAATATCCTACTTACTTTTCTGCATCCTACTGTCCCTTTCCCCTTCAGTTTTCCCTCCTGAGATGGGTGTCAGACAGGGCTTCTCAATCTCAGAATTACTGACACTTTGTACTGGATAATTCTTGTTCTGGGGCTATCTTGTGATAGCATGTTTACCATGTTTAGCATCATACTCAGCCTCTACTCATTAGATTCCCCTTCCCCTGTCATGACAATCAAAAATGTTCCCAGACATTGCCAAATGCCTTGTGGGGAGCAAAACCACCTCCAGTTGGCAGCCACTATATAGGAGAGGTGGAGGTAATGAAATCCCTAAATCTGAGAAGTCAGTAGTCTTCAAACTCTTCTGATCAGGCACTCTTAGCAACAAAACAATGTCTGAGAATACTGCCCATATGGGGCCCAAGGCGGGTGGGTTGCTTGAACTCAGGAGTTCAAGACCAGCCTGAGCGAGAGTGGTCTTGAACAGAAAAAACAGAAAAATTAATCAGGCATCATGACAAGCACCTATAGTCCTAGCTACTCGGGAGGCTAAGGCAAGAGGATTGCTAGAGCCCAAGAGTTTGAGGTTGCTGTGAGCTACAATGACGCCATGGCACTCTACCCTGGGTGACGGGGCAAGACTCTGTCTTTAAAAAGAAAAAAGAAAAGACTAAAGCCAAAAACTTGCATGTAAGTACTGTACTTAATTGTTATGGGCTAACAATTCTGAACCCACTGTGCATGTATACTGGACATGAATGATTAAATAATGATAGATAGTGGGAGCCAGATTTTTCACTTTTTTTTTTTTT